TAATTACTTTTTAAATGAAAAAAGACCAAAAATTGTGGGGGGGAAATATTTTCAACTTTTTGTTATACAAAATATCAAATAAAAATCAAATTTCTTCCTAAATTTAGGCCAAAATGTATTCTGCTAAATGTTTTTGGTAAAAACAAAATCCCAATAAGTATATACTAAGCTGTTTTTGTGAATTGGTACCAATTATAAGTGGTACCACATGGTTTTTATCCATATGGTGTCAAACAGCAAAATCGGTATTGCTCGGGGTAAAGGATTGGTTTAGGAATGATATTGCCGGTATATTTTTTTCAAACCTTTGTGTGTCTGCTACATAAAATCTTATAATTTGAGGAAGCTGAAACCCCCCCCCAGGAAAAAAATGTATCTACGGCCATGGTCCTAAATACTGTCTTTTGTTGCATTGTTATTCTGAGCTTTCAAAAGGCTTGGTCATGCCAGGGCCTGAACATCAAAAAGCAGGTTGTACGTATATATTCAGTATGTAGCCCAGGAGAGTTTGAGGATGTAATTTATGTTGATACATGCCTCCACGGCTGATTTTCCTAGCCTTTCCCAATTCCAGCCGCTGGAGGGTTGCATCAGAAAATAGGCAAGATCAGGGCATAACTTCAAATGTTTAGGATTAATCTTGGCAGATCCTACAAAACCTCAGACTTTCATCTGGAAAGGACTGCCTGTTGGACTATTGGAGATATTCACGTACAATTTATGAGCCAGCAGGCATTTTTAATGAACCAGGGAAGTATGCCTCCAGTGATAAGGCTCAAAAAAGTTAAGCACCAGCTGTAAGGGTTTTGTTGACTCAATGCCCTGATTGAAAGTATGTTAATAGAAAACTCAAATGACTATTACTATATAAACTGTTTACTATAAATTATTTCTTGTTGCTTGTTATGTGCAACTTACTTGACTAAAGGGTAGACACTTGGAAAGGAAACATGGCAGAATTAGAGACAATGTTGAGGATTCTAAGAAGGGTTCATTCAAAATGATTCTTTCAAGGGAAAAGTGCTGCCAAGCATCCCGTTTCCACCCAAACCTACCTCTTTGCACAGGCAGCCAAAACACAAATGATTTTTATTAATGTGGCCAGAAAAGGGCAATTTTTGTTTACTGTGATATCACTACATTTTCACCAAGCCTGTGAGGCACCTATGTTACATCTTATGTGTGTCCATTGATGGTAAAAGTTCAGGGTGATCCACAGACTAGATACACTCAATGAAAGGTACACTGATGTAAAAACAACAGAACGGCTTGAAAAAACTACAAAGGGACAGTCCCAAGCCCTATCTCCTTGATCAAAGAGATGGAACAGTGGCTACAGGTCTTCATTATCAGAAAACCTGAGCTGGACATATTTGAGGAGGGAGTAAACAGATTACGCTGCAAGTAAACAAAAACTAACACTGGATTCTGTAAAGCTAAGACAGTATTATGCCATTTAGTGCCCATTTGCACTGACTGGAGTTCAGCTTTAAGCAATGCTGTTTGTTTATTAGTATATTTGTATTAATAACACACATATATTTGTTGGAATTTGGTTGGTATGCTTCTGTGCAGGGTGTGGGAGGGATCAGTGATGTAATCTTAAAGTGTATTTATCCTTCACCCCTTTCGGTGCCAGAATCCTTTTTTTTTTTTGCACACATGTTTAAATGTACATTTTAGGCCTGAAGATTACTGAAAACCCCCCAGAATTATTGAGCTAGTACAAAGAATTAAAAATCCTTTTGTAGGTAAAATCGCTCCCAGTTATGCATTTTAACTGCAGATTACATTTGTCAACGATATTCAGCTGTAAGCGGACACAGGATACAGCATATTTTGTTTGTGAAGTAGGAACATTTTGTGTCAGGCTATTTTAAAAAGTCCTGTCCTGAGATTGAAAACAAGCCAGTACAGTGTTGTTTCTCTTCTCTTTTACACTTCATATTAACTGAAACTGTAAAAAGCTCCATGTTCTAATTATATTTATTCAGTATGCAAGGCGGAGAAATGCAACTGCGCTTCTCCCCAGCAGAATTCTTTACATTTTATTTGCCAAGGTTAAACTTCCTTCCTTTCTGATTTGCCAGTGACAGATGTAGCCTTACCAGGGGGTAGACATTTACACATGAAGTACTGCACAGAATTATAAGCAACTACTAATTATAAAACAACAGATTAAGTAGCATGTAGAAAATATACATAACATATGTCCAAGGTCTAAGTTACTCTTCCACCATGCTTTATTTTTGTTCTACAGCATTTAAAGTGAACATGAATTTTTCTCACACTGGGAAAAGTAATAGGTTCTCTTTAGTGTAGGTAACCGAAAAAGCATCTGCTGCCTTCCCTGTGCTGTCTCCATCCACTACCAGGCAGCCCAAGATTCTTCTTAACCTTCAACTTTCTAAGCAACTTGGACCTGCCAACTGGATGATCTGGAAGTATCAGGTATTCCAGAAAAGGACAAAACACGATCCTTAAGACCATAAACGTAGACAATGATCTGTCTATACCACCAAGAAACAGTGAAACAAGAAGCTGGATCCCTCTTACAGGGACCATCAGGAATGACAAAAAAAAGAGGGTCAGTCTTTCTAACGGAAGCATTGGCTGACAGGTAAAATCACTTGAACTACATTCAGGCAGTAAAAGGAAATGTCCTTCTGTTGTACTGGAGCCAGACAAAGAGACAGAAGAACAATGAGGGGAATTTATCAAAACTATCGGCAACTGCTCCAGATTCTGTCTGTTTCAGTTTTGATAAATTCCGCCAATTGCCTTGGTTGAGATGAAAAGCCTAAACTATCTTAGAAAAAGTGGTTTACAGGTGGTCTACAAGCAGCATCCCCCACCTGACACAGGTTCTGGAACACCTCAAGGTGTAGAGACCAGTCTTCGCCGACTGATGTAGTCTGCCTGCCAACTATCCGTTCCTGTGCTGACTGTTCCCTCATAGGAGGTCATGCAGATATCTCATGAAGGGAATGCCCACTGAGAACAGTAAGGCTGGCATTGGTGTCAATACCTTGTTAAACCCTTAGGGTAAGGAAGGCAGATCAAATGGTAGGGCCACAAACCGATAGTGTCGGGCACCCACACCAAACTAGTGGTCGTGTTCATATACTAGAAAAATGGAGACACGCAGATATGAATCCTTGATGTGCATGGAGGCTAGAAAGTTTCGCTGACAGAGGTAGGCTATGGCAGACCTAGTGGATTCCATGCAAAATATTTGGACCTGAAAAAAGACATGTGAGGCTTTGAGATCCATTATGGGGTGAATGCACTCTTTTAATTTGGGGACAGTGAAGGTTAGAGTAAAAGCCTACAAGCCTGAAGCAATAGTGAAAACTCCTTGGTTCAAAAGATTTGCAAGAGTAACATGGAGGTCTGCTAGTTTATGTGGTGACACAGGCAGGTTGGACAACATAAAAATGTCTTTTACCAAAGCTTCCAAATGCTTCCGGACCAGGTTTCCGCAAAGGACAAAAAACTTCCCTCAACTATGGAAAGTGGGGTGCCTATTAATGCTGAAGAGGACTTGACTGCAGGTTTAGGGGATTTAGAGACCCAGGGTTTCCGACTGAAGTGAGAACCTGGCTTAGATCTGATTTGGGATGTTAAAGCCTAGGAGTAACGAAAGGAACGCTACTTTACCTTAGAGGAGGGAACAGTCTTCAATATGAACCCATATGGTATCTTTAAGCCTAGGAGCTATGGTAGCTGCCTGTTGCTCATCAGGGTCAAATTCATCTATCAAGGATTTCCGAGACTCTTCATAAGAGAGAGCCTCCACAGCAGAAGGCTGAGAAATAGCTACAGCTAAAGCAGCAACAGCTAAATCAATGTCAGATGATGATTGTGGAGGGGAGAAAAATGCGTACAGCCTCTGCATTCCAAGTCAGCAATTAAAGTTGTGATTTGGCCTAAAGACTCCATTATAGCTGCGGGGAACTCCTCTCTGGATGAGACAAAAGAGGAGACCACACCAGAATGTGCTAAGAAAGACTCTGAGGAGTGTATTGACAACGATCCAGGCTGTCAATGTTAGGTACTTGAGAAGGGACACTGCAGGCCTACTCAGAACTGTTAGTGGATTGTGAGCTAGAGAGATTGGATGAATGTTCCCCTTGTGCTTTGGATCCGACGTGTTGCACTGCTGACCAGAGAAAACTTAATTGAGAATACCAGGTACTGCTGCTGAAAGCAGGATAGGCTCAAATGGCCGGAGGTGGCCAATCCACTGTAGGCAGCAGCAAGGTCTAACTGAGGTGGAGATGCTAGCTCATGCTGAAGGGCACAAACACTCCAGCTAGTGACGCAGCACTTACTTGCCTGCTACCCCCTTCCATGTAAACCAACATAAAATGGGAGAAATAAGGGCTCCAAATGGGTCGAATAAATATAGTACCTTCTGATGCATGGCCCACATAGTCTACTCATTAAAACATCTTTAGAGAAAGGGTCACACCATAAGGTGTGACAGGAACCTAGAAAACACTCTGTGGCCAACTAAGTACAGTACAAAAAAGTCTAGAATGCACCAGAAGCAGAGCTCATTGCTTGAAGATTACATTCTAGACAGGTGCCACAATCTTCAGTCCAGTGGGGTACAGGTACAGCCTCCAATACTAATATTGGGGATACGCCGAAAATGCTCTCGAAAAAGAGAAAATATTACTAGTAAAAAATAGTTAAACATTTTTTAGTAGAGTACGTCCATCCTCTTAGGACACTAGCAAAAAATTGAAGCATGCTGGGAGTGGGAGGGGTTAAACCTGGTTTGTAATAGTTTTTTTGTGTTTGCCAGTATCCTAATTCTTCTGTAGCTGGCAGTATAACCCAATTTTCTCCGAAATCTGTGTCTTTTAATGGAAGAGAAAGAAAACGTTTCACCAGGGCCCTTACTTACCTTAGCTATGCCACTAATGTGTGATAATTCAACAACTTTATCAAATAAATATGCAGAGCTGGACAATATGTTATAAATGTCTTACCTTCATCTGCAGAGACCTCACTGCTGTAGCCATCGTACTCTGCAGACAGTGGGCTATACTTTTGTCTGGTTTCCCATGTGTAATTCTGCTGCTTGTCAGAGGCAGGACGAGATCCATGAAGCCGGCTCATTGCTTCATGATATTTACCAAGGCCTTCATCTTCACTCTCTGATGATGAGCCATGCAAGTCTCGGCCTAGTCAAAATAGATAAACATAAGGCTAGAAAGTTTATTTTGTTAGTCATGAAATATGAAGATAACTGTGCATACTTCTGTAAAGGTAGTGAGGGCAATAATATTAAAATCATAGCTGTAAATATACTGTTTATATCTGTTTATATGCCCATCACCACCATTTAAAATAAATACCACTAGCCCTGCTTCCCCATATAAAACCACACATCAGATTTAGTCTTGAAGATTGATTTTGTTTTTAAAGGGAAATGCCCACCAAACACAACTGAAATCCATACAGCTTGGGCTGTTACTCACCAACCACCCTTGCTGTGCCATTCAAAGAAGGTATTCAGAGTTTGCAGTTCATCAAACTCTTAAGGGCAGGCAGTACAACCTCCAGCCTAGTTTTTCAGATTAATAATGGAAACCCTGACAATAGTGATCACCTCTCTGAGATCTCTCCCTCCATTAAACTAGTATAAGCACCCGCAACTTCACCTGTTAACTAAGATTACTAACAACCCCCTCTTCACTGCTGCTGCTCCCACTTCCTCCACAGCCTGTGCTAGATGTCACCAGGTGATGGAGGCTAGGGAGAGTGATGATGTCACCCCCTTCTGTCTTGTGCATGAGACTAGCCATTGGGGTCACAGGGGAGGTCACATGCCACCCCATAACAGGAAGCACCAGGTATTGCCACATGCTGCAATTAAGACAGGAATGGCAAGGGAGTGATGCTTAGGTGTGAATCAAGGGGTCAAATGATGCCCTTTACAAAAGACATTGTATGGCCAAAGAGTCAGTGTCTGTTTAATTGGTAAGATGACATTTGCTTCAAAAATATTTTTTAATTACTTTATTTGTCATCTTAAAAACCAAGACAACAACATTCATCCAGATGAGCAGGTCTGTGGGATATTAGCTTCTTTTTTTTTTCTTCATTCAATACATTTTTATTAAGCATGAAAAGAATAAACATGGTGTTTCATATACTTAAATAAAAGAAATAAAATTACCGCCCCAAACTGGCACAAATAACCAGCAAAGATGACTACTAGCTCATACAAGATTATGCAACAATAAACAAAAGTGTATACATACAAGCTAAAATAAATGCAATTACACAAAATATAAAACAGACATTAGGTAAAAAAACTAGTGAAAAAGACCAAGAGGGAAAGAAAGTTAATACATAAGGAGAGAACCAAACCAAGTGAAAACAAAAAGGAATAGTCACACTTCCCCCGACGTAGCCCCAACATCTCCCAACCCCCCAGAGTCAGAGAGCCAGAGATTCTCTATTGAAATCCAGAAGAAAAAAGTTGCCTATCCAGGGGGACCAGATACATTATATTTGTCCATAGCATCCTTTTGTATAGCTGTTAGCTTCTCAAAGAACAGAGTATGGGACATGACATTGAAACATAACCTAATAGGCTCACAAAATCCCCTATTTAGCCATCCTGAATACATTTTAAAGCAATTTAAATTGATTTGGGGTACAACCCGAGGGTTTTTTTGTTGTTAAGAAGGGCAATAAAAGGTTCACTGCGGAGTGTTTTAACAAAAAACTGGGTAATATATTGTATTTATGTGCACTAAAATCAACTCAAGTGTATTTTTTTACTGAAAATTTGTGTTTGATAAACAGTTGCGCTAATATCATATGACATAAAAAAATTGCAACTGCCACCAATTTATTCTACAGGGTCTCTACTTTTAGGAAATATATAATTGTAGGGGTTTTAAGTAATCTTGCGGCCTGAAATGTGCACTTTAACCACTTGCTGACTGCGGTGTTTACACCCCCTTCCTGTCCAGGCCATTTTAAAGTATTTAGCGCTGAGGTACTTTGATTGACATTTATTCCGTCATGCAATGCTGTACTGAAATTAATTTTATACCATTTTTGGAGGACAGATAGAGCTTTCTTTTGGTGGTATTTAATCACCACTGGGGGTTTTATTTTTTACTATATAATGAAAAAAGCACCAAAAATTAAAACAAATCTGTTTTCCCTTTATTGTTAGGAAACATTTACTATTACCCATTATTTGGTAAAATATAAAAGACGGGGTCACGTTGGGAACATATGAAGCCTTAAAATTGCGTGCACGCGGACAAAAAAATAAGAATCCCCCTATATGATATCAAATTACAGTAACAGGTCTCCTTTATGGAGACATCAGGGGTCTCTAAGAACCCTAATGTCACCTAGGACCCCTAGAGAAGCTGATGAAGCACAGATCTGCTTCATCGGCTTCTCTCTGGTTTCTGTACCGGAGAGTGACAGAGGAATGCGGTAGTGATGTAATAAACATCACTTCCTGCATTCGTGTACTGATCTCCCTCCATTCTCAGTGCACGGACCCACATTGCCCATCCTGCATCAGACGCCGGGATCCAGTGGCGTAACCAGAGTTATGGGCGCCCGGGGCAAGTGCCCCCCCGGTTGTTACGCCACGACCACGAGGAGAGGTAACGAAGGGGCGCACAGAGACATGCAGCATACAAGCGATGCTTGTATGTAAACGGCCATTGCTGGCTGCTTAAAATTCTGGCGGTTTCCCGAAGGACGTCTAAAGACGCCCACCTGCATCCAGAAGACTCCCGTCCAGCCATTTCTGAATATTCGGTGGACGGGAGGTGGTTAACATGTGTGCAAAAAATGGCTCTGGCAGCATAAGGGTTAGTGCCCCTTTGCAATGGGATGTTGTGCACATGGATAGTGCAATAAGGGGGCAAAATCAGGAAGAGGAAATAGAGACATGTAAAATGTTAATCCCATTTCTCTATGGACAGCAACTTGAGCCAATACAGACATCCACGTTTTTTATTATGCCATTTAAAATGTAAATGATCAAAATCTTTTCTTAAAACAAGTTTTAATCAAGGTGAGGTTTACTTCACAAGCTGAAGCAGCAAAGCCGTAAATATTGAATTTCGGTAAAATCTGGATTATTGATATCAAAACTACAGTTCAAATGCTTTAAGAAAAATGCATTAAGTCAGTGAGATCATAATTCCGATTTTAACTGCCTAATAAATGGGTCCCACAGTTTAATGGTACTGCAAGACGCTGAGGACATTTGATCGACGATTGTGTGAACCATTGACATAACAGCAAGATATCAAATATCTGGTAAAGGAACACCCAGTGAAAGATCACCCTTCTATTATATAGCAATGCTATCTATTGTCAAATATTAAATAGTGCTGGATACATTCATAAGTTTTACACTGTTGATTTCTAAATGGTGCCTCTTATAGAAGCACAACTACAATTTAGAATTGTTTGCCCACATGCAGGCAGCAAATGAAATCAATAAACTGCCAAAGCCATCCAGAAAATACTAAAGCCGTGCTACAAGCAGGTGGCACAAGTATGTTTACCTCAAATAAACCGGTACCCCATTCTAAACTTTTAAATTGACTAGACCTGCATGAGAGCAGACACTACAAAATGCTTTACCTTTATTAGCCAGGGAAAAACCTTCTGTACCCTTTTCTGATTTTGTTTAAACTTTTCATGACCACAATATTCCTTTTTAACCCCTTCATGACTGCGGCCTTTTTTTCATTTTTTGCACCCATGTTATATTCCACATTTTAGGCCTGAAAATGACTTAAAACCCCCAAACATTATATATTTTCTGAATGCCAAGACCCAATAGAATAAAATGGTGGTAGTTGCAGATTTTTATGTTGCGCAATATTAGCACAACCCCTTATTAAACCCCAACATTTAGTGAAAAATTTAATTAAATGCCCAAAACACAACAAAATACCCATTGTTTTAATGAAATATAAAAGATGAGGTTACAACGAGTAAAACGATACCAAACATGCCCAGGTTACAAATTGCACCGGCGGGGTATCTGTTTAAACAGCCCCGATGCTGGCGACGTACACTGTACGTCGTCAGTCACGATGGGGTTAAATCCACATAAATAAATGATCCTTGCCGTGAAAATGTTCATTAAAGAAGAACTATAGGCAGAGTAAAACATACTTTCCCCATGCTGGCTCTAAGACCGAGAGGCGACTGATCAGTCAACTCACAGTTTCTGGTCCCAGCAGAGAGCAGTGACTTTTACTGACCCCCACAGGGATTCCCCTCTCTCCTCTCTATTTCTCAGCCCTGGCTGGAGCTACAGGTACAAGCATGGCTGGCTCTCAGTCGTGTGCAGAGAGCCAGAGCCAGTTGTCAGGTAGGCAGCTGAAGTGGATCCCAACAAATATTGATTGGTTGGCACTGCCAGAGATCACTGAAGCAAAGATTTATGGGAGTTGTAGTGCTGAGGCAGAGAGAGACAATGTTACTTCGTATAGAGTAAACTACTGCTCCCAGGTGGCTTTTACAATCTGGGGAAAGGGTGGACTCAGCTCATCAGAGAAGCGCAGACAGAATGTGGGAGGACTCTCCAGACTGCAGGACATGTGTGAGGACAGGACTGACTGGCTGCGGTGATAGGAGCCAGACATATCGCTGTTACCAGAGTGAGAGAGTTATCCCAGGGAAGTCTGTCTGTATGTACTTCAGACCCCTCAGAGACTTACACCGCTGCCTCAACGAACGAATGGACGCTGCTATGCCTGTGTGACTGTTGCTGCCAGAGAAAGAGAGATTTGCTGCCCTCTTGCATCGGAGCCTCAGAAGAGTCCAAGGAGCCACTGGTTTGAGAGGGGGATGCCCTTCTTGTTAGCCGACATTGGCAATGCCATCCAAGTCTGCCTGTCACGTTGGCTAGCCCAGAGTATTACCACTGGCCAATAGTGTAGGGACCTGGGAACATTTTGGACTGAGTCATTATTAACCCAGTAGCCATAGTCAGCGGGTACCTGTTACATAGTTACATAGTATTTGAGGTTGAATAAAGACATAACTCCATCAAGTCCAACCTATTGTGTGTGTGCATTTATGTTTGAGCAGGTGTGTGCGTGTGTATTAGTCCATGTGGGATTTTGCTCTTAGGCGTACCTGTACCCCTGTATGTTATGGTCTCCGAGGAACTCGTCCAAGAGTTTCTTGAATGTTTCCACACTCTTAGCTGAGATCACTTCCTGCGGCAGCGAGTTCCAGACCTTAACCGCTCCGACTGTGAAGAACCCCTTGCGCCCACCAAAAATTGGTGGAAATTTTTTTTCCACCAATTTTTGGTTGTGCCCTCTGGTCTTTGTTACGGAACTAACCGTAAACAGTTTGTTAATAATGTTGCTGTCACCATTGAACAGTTTATACAAGAAAATCATGTCCCTTAATCTCCTAGCCTCCAAAGAGAACATATTTAATTTTAACAACCTTGTTTCATAGTTCAGGTCCTCGGACCCCTTAATAAGTTTGGTTGTCCTCCTCTGGACTTTTTCCAGCTCAAGGACATCCTTTCTGAGTATCTGTGACCAAAACTTGACCGCATACTCCAGATGTGGCCGAACCAGTGATCTGTAAAGTGGCAAAATTATAGACTTGCCTCTGCAATACATTCCCTTCTTAATGCAAGACAGGACTCTGCTTGCTTTGTTTACCGCAGCCTGGCACTGCAAGCTGTTCTTCAATCTGCGGTCTATAATGACCCCCAAATCCTTCTCCATTTCCGACTTCCCTAGTGGCACACCCATAAGTGTATAGTCCATTTGCCTATTTCTAACTCCAAGGTGCATTACCTTACATTTATCGACATTGAACTTACAGTTGCCCACTCCCCGATTTTGTCCAGGTTCTCCTGTAATGTTATAATGTCTAAATCTGTGTCTACTACCCTCCCAATTTTAGTACCATCAGCAAACACTGAGACATGGCTATTCACTCCCTCCCCGATATCATTAATAAATAGGTTAAAAAGCATGTGACCCAGCACAGAACCCTGGGGCACGCCATTCATGACCTCCGCCCAGTCTGAAAAGGTGCCATTTACTGATACTCTTTGTGCACGTTCTCGTAGCCAGTTTTCTATCCACGTACACACTAATTCATCTATGCCCATAGCCCTTAGTTTGTATAACAAGCGTTTATGTGGCACCGTATCAAAGGCTTTGGAGAAGTCCAGATATACTACGTCCACCAGCCTCCACCATCCAGATCTCTACTTACCTCTTCGTAAAAGGTCAGCAGGTTGGTCTGGCAAGAACGATCCTTCCTAAATCCGTGCTGCATATCAGTTATTATGCCAGATCCCAGACGAATTCCACTAAGTAATCCTTAATAATTCCCTCTAATAGTTTACATACTATGCATGTCAGACTAACTGGTCTATAGTTCCCCGGTTGGCATTTTGACCCTTTTTTGAATATAGGTACCACATTACGGATTCCTTAAAAATGAGCAAGCTAAGTATTGTATATTGCAGCTATTAGACAGCTGCGGCTGAGGTGTATACAAAAAACTAAAGTGTATCTATTGCATGCATGTTTATATTTGCTAATGTTCTTTTTATTCTTCATTTGTCAAAAACAGGATATTATTTGTTAAGTAAGGTGTTTATAAAAACCCACAAGGTGTGCTGGTGTGCTGTGGATCCCTTACAAGTGATTCATCAGAGAGGTGAGACAGAAGGACTTGTTTATTCCAGTGGCTCTTTCGAGTGATACACTACTTTTCCTATATTTTTTTTTCAGCGCACACCAACGCAGCACATTGGTATAAACTGAAGCCATAGGACAAAGTTATTTGCCTCGTCCGTGCGCTAGGACTGCATTGGGCAACACAGCCTAACAGTGATGATATGAACAAGTTGCTAGTTTCCCGATCCTTGTGCTTACTTGCTTTGGTACTAAAGATAGTAAAGAACTCCACTGCACTTTAGATGCAAATACGCTATGCAATAAACTATAAAAAAAAATATATAAAACCTTTAACCTGGCACAACACTACATCCAACAGCCAGTAAAGCTTGCTTTGTCAATTCTGCCATCTAAGTAATGTAAGAAACTATCGTCATTGATCCCAGAGACTGAATTCTTTGAGGAAGAAAAAAACAGCTTTCTGAAGAGTACTTAAAGTGAAGTTGAAGTGAATGCATTTAACACAAGAACTGGAAGAAAGCTCAGAAGAGATGATGCACTTCACGCAGAGATAGAGATTGGATTACCTTTCCTTGGTGCTTTCTTTATTGAGTCTTCCGAATGCTCTGAAGGCCTTTCCTTTGCCCTGTGACGATGTTTCTCCCTAAATGTGCCGTCTTTGCTGCTATTAACTAGACTGGTTTCATGTGCTTTTCTGGGATCCTCACAGTGGCCTCTGGGCTTCCTAGATGATTTAGTATTTGCCTGATGAACTTGATTAACCTTCTCTTGTCTGCGGTCTCCTTTCTCCCCTCTAGCAGGCTGAGGAGAGGGTTCTAAGTCACTGTTGTGTCTAGATGACCTGTGTCTATTTCTTCTTATAGAATTATCAGTTACCTCATCTGTATTTTTACGTGCTTGTCCTTGATCGTTTGTAGATTTTTGATGTAAATGTTTCGATCTCCCTTTTTTCTGTTTTCCTTCTGAGAACCTTTGTCCATGTTCATCCATGTAATTACAGTAATCCCCATTCTGATTTCCATCTACTTGCTCACATTCTTCCTTAGTTTGATATGAATAACTCACCTGACCTCTTCCTTCTGACTCTGAGTCTTTACCAATATAAATATCATTGGATTCAGGGTTACAATGAGGTCTACGGGAACTGCCATCATAGTTTGATTTTCCTTCATTCGTGTTATAATCAGATGGTGTTTGATAAGCATTTAAAGTAGACTCAGCTCTATTAGTATCCATTGGTGAAGGACTAGAGTTGGTTCCATTATAGCACTGCGTTGTATCTAGAGGATTTTGTTTCATTTTATTAGCCTGAGTCATATAACTTTCCTCATCCTCTGTGCGTAACCCTTGTATCATACTCGTAACCTGTTCAGTGACTGAATCTGCCACAGTATAACTAACTCCTTCAACAGCACTTGCCAAGCCATCAACAGCATTACTGAGAGCATTACTGAGAGTGTCTCCAATAGAAGACATAGATGGAAGGCCTACGCTTTGCTGAAAGCTCTTGAAAAATGCCATTGCTAATTTGCCTCTTAAAAATAAAATGCAAATGCAGAAAATATCTACAGTCCAGAAATTCTCCAAATGAGTGTGCGTGTGTACTGCCACTGGATTCTGATAATCAAACAGCTCTTGTTTGCAGCTGCAATTCAGAGGATTAACGTTTGCCCATGTGGTTATGAAGAAGGTAAATAGAATTCTCTGCAGTGACAACGACATTGTATAAGGATTCATTTATAAAAAGGTATACAGCTCCACCCAGAAGAAGATAACATGGCATAAAAAAGAAATCAAATTATTGCATTTTAAATGTCATTTGCAAATAACAAAAAATTATTTTTACAATTGAATATCTAATACATTCAAAAATATTGCATTCATTTATATAGCTCCCATTTTCACCCAGAAATGCTGCTACTCAAGAAATCACAGGATTGGCTAAACTAGGAACCCATAATTCTATGTTGCGTCCTCCCTGCTTTAGCATCATAGAGAGTCAGTGTGGAGCCACGCTGTGTCTATGTCCACCCCTACCACTGCATCTCAATGCCTGGCACATGAACAATAGAAAGGTAAACTTCTGAACAGTCATGTAAGTATAGCTTTTATTTTTTGTTCCAGATTTAAGCCTACCCAGATTAACAACATTTTATAACAATTTTGTACCCTGGGGGCCAACTATAACAACCTGCCATTAAAGGCAAAGTGACAATGTCTAGTGATCACCCTTGTGCCCACCAAGGTATACTCCCCGATCCATGCAACCCCACCAACTCCCCACACTGTTGGAGTCCTTGTTCCACTACTCTGTGTGAGACTTCAGGTAATCCACCCCACAAACACACACGTGAAAGTGCTCAGACCTCAGTAGCCAATTGCCAGGCCTGAACACTGACTGGCTGTGACATAATCCACTTGGGTAAGCTTCAACGTGGAGGGCCCCTTCACACTAGACGATGTGCCAATCGTGCAGGTGTGCAGGTTTATTCAGCAGTGGCAGGAAGAAGGGTTTTACTTTAAAGCTACCGATGGGCTTTAAAGATTTAGGCCTATCTTATCTATGTGCAGCTGTGGCAAACCAAGCTGAAAACTTGGCTCCTCAGCTCTCGTTTTGTTTCCATAGTTCCTATAGGAAATCCAGCAGAGGGCGTGTGACACCACAGCTCAGAAAAAGCAGAAGCATCTTGACCATACTAAACATGCAGGGCACTGGATGAACATACTGTATTTGACCTGACTCACTAAAGGGTGAAATTAGTTTACATGTCTTATTTTAGATGAACCTGTGTAACTTAGCACTATTCTGATGTCGTGAGAAAATCTTTTATATGTATTTGCACAAAAATTCACTTTTGAAGTGCATGTTCATTAATTAGTTTCAGGTGCTGGAGTGAAAGAGGAGTCGTTTTTCCCAATTTTTATTTTAAGTTACATTACTTTTCCTTAATTTGGTAGGTAATGCGGAAGTCCCTGCTTACGATGGAGTGTATTCTCTAAATGCAGTGATGGCCAGCATTCAAACTTCCAGAACATTTTCCACCTCGTCCAACATTTTCCACCTCGTCAAGTCATTGCTTGACTTTGCACTCTTTCTAGTATTTACAAAGGTGTGCACATGCAAACTATATTGGCAAAGGAGCGAATATGACTTTTCATCATGCTGGTGCGTGCAAACACTTTACTGAAACAGTTACAAAGTTGCAAAGTTTTGTTTACACGTGCAAACTTTTGGACTCATGTGGCTCAGTGAATCAAGCCCTAACCTTCAAGACCTTTAGCCATCTAAGAAGGTGACTGAGGCTGAGGGCTTCTGCGACCCTTGGGCTAGATGCTTCTTCAAGGGCTACCACATCAGTCACAATCATACTAAGCAGGTGTTTTGTTAGCCCAGATCTAGTATGTGGCTTTTGGGCATTCTACAACAGGTAGCTATCATGATGATGGATTCCCGTTAAATGTAAAACCACATGTACTTCCTGTTCTGAGGAAGGATGTGGAAATATTTTAACCCAGGGGTTCTCAACCAGAGGTATCAATACCACTCAAGGTTACAAGAACAAAATGATGGGGGTATGGGACTTTGCAATTGGGAACACAATTCTCTCCATTATTGAAGATGAAATTTATATGGAGCAACTGACTTGACGTAATCGATGACATGCAAGTATTATTGTCTGTAATACATATGAGTTTCTTTCAGAGGTTATGTTTCTAGCTATCTATACGAGAAGTAACACCAAACTATTGACCTCTTTTGAAATGCTAAAGGGACCTAACAGTACTGGCGATCATTTGATTAGTCTGGTGAAGGGTATATGAGAACATATTGGACAATCCAATGGGGTCTGAAATAAGATACCGGTTAAGTGTACGTGTAGCCAAAGCATACTTTTTTAGTTTTGGATACAGTTGAGAAGGGTGGAACACAATGCCAGTTTATTTATTTATTTATTTGTGTATTTATTTATTTTGCTGTCTGTCTCCTATTGAAGAGGCCTCCCTTCACTTTTCACTGTCCTAGAGATGCACCAGGAAGTGAATGGAAATCTCTACAAAGTAGTCACCAGAACAGGTTGGAAGAATTACTCTTAATTTGTCCCGGTGACCAGTTGTCAATAGAACAAGAGGTAGGAGGGTGAATATGGACATAGCAAAACAAGCTTTACAGGGAATCTAATTTCCTCTATTCTAAAACTAGAAAAACACTGAAGTGACAGAATTGCATTACAGCTATGTACAGACAGAATGCTGAATAATCTCACCTTGAGAATTCTTTGTACAAAAGTCTGATCCACCTTGATGGAAGCCTCCAGTTTTTCCAAAACACATTTTCTTGTTAATGTAGAGAAAGAGCAAAAGGAGGAAAACAATGGACACACCGACCGCTGAGAGAAAACCGACAGCCTCGGGAGACACTAAAACAAATAAAAAATGTTTTTTAACTACAGAATAAGTCAGTTTATTGTTAATCTAATCTGCAAATAGTGATGCTGGATTTGAGAGAAGCAGTAGTATGTAGTTTTATTTTTGCCTGAATACCTGCAGTTCACAGTTTTGCAAATTAATTCATTCATGATTATTTAATATATATTTTACAGAGATAGGTTGCATCCGCGTTGACACTGCATTTTCATACAGCACGGGTCTTGGTGGTAAGCACTCTTGGTTGGAATTGCTGGTGTCAGGGGTTCAACTGTTACCAAGGTCACACATGGAGTTTGTGTGTGTATCTTCAACTGGGTACCTTTTTCTTCCCAAAACCAGTGAATGTACGGGAGACTGACTAGCTTCCACCCAAGTAGTGTATGTGACTGGGGTTGGGATCCTGAACTATATGCTTCTGTAATGGTCCAATGTTCTTTTTTAAAAAAAAACAGTATAATGTGTTGAAGCTAAATAAATGAGCACGACAGTAAACGTAAAACCTGATTTTACATATACATTAATATTTGGATTGTTATCCCTTTACTTTCAAGCAGCTGTTGAAGTGAATGCAAACTCACACCCAAAGGCACCTCAGAATCTGACATTTCCAGGAAATGTTGTTATCCTGGCACTGAACTAAAAGCTGCAGGGGAAAGCCACACAGGCTAAAGTGCAGCCATAGAGGTAACCAGAGTTTGATAGAAGCATCGGCCCAAAAAAAATCTTCAGACACTAGCAAATAAATGAGGCCTGCTGGGACTGGAAGGGAGTTATATTGGCTATCCTAACAACTCTGCTTGCCAGTATCAAATCACCAGAAAGTAGATAAATATAACCCATGGTTTATACTACAAATCCTGTGTCCTGTACTATACAATGAAGATAAGGTAATATGATTACCTCATTCCTTATTCCCCCAGCAGCCGGACACCCTGGGCATCGGGATGATGTAGGGATGATGTCAAAGAGCTGCAACTGGTGGCTTTAGGGTTCTATGAAGAGAAGGAAGCCTGCAGCGAGGAATAAGGAATGATCACCTTATTCAACATCCCTAGGCAAATCATAAAGATATCACCTTATTCATTATCCCCAGGCAAAACGAGCAGTTAAACCTCACAATGTGGAAGGGGGGCCCACTGGAAGGGTAATCCCCCCCCCCCTTTAAGTAATGACAAAGATATTGCCGCATAAACAGGCCCATAGCAGAAATGTAAAAATTGCTCTGGTCCATAGGGGGTGTACAGGTGTGAGAGCAGACGTGGTTAAATGTAGACCTTTTTAAAATGGCCATCTCGGAAGGTCGCTGCCAGAATAATGGCGTAATGAATGGAAAAACTTCAGATTTCATGAGCTTTACAAAAGAAAAAAACACTGTTAAAAGCTGCCATGTAAATTAGAGGACAATTAAGGCATATTTCTTAAACGCTATCATTATATTACCTGTACTCTATGACATACTCTACCATTAAAAGCAATTATGTACTTGTTATTTGAAAAGATAGTTGGCGGATAAAGGTTGTCCCAGAAAACCATTTGTGATAATTATACAGGGTGATATATTACATGGAACTGCCAATAAATGGGTATAACTGGCTTTTAAATAATTGACTATAGGCTGCTTTTACATTACTTTACACACTGTTTTTGACTTTTGCTCAAAAAAAATCAAGTTAATGGAGTTAAAAAGATGGCCCAGAACAAATATCTATATTTAAAATATTTTAGATTTCCCTAATTTTTTACGGGTATTGCAAGCGAATTAAAACTGATGTCAATCAGACATGGCAATATCCCAATGCCTCATCCTCTCTTTTGCATCTGCACAGCTCCGGTTACAGTTTCTCTTGGTCTTTTCACTAGAGATTCAATGTGGGAAAACAGTTTATTGAAAGCGGCATTGCAAATGAGGATATTTTACTTAAAGTGACCCTGTCACTACAAGGTCAAAAGTCAAATATAGGCAACCTGTAAAAGAAGATGCTATAAACTTACCTTTCTGGCAGCATGTGCGTTAAAACACCTCCACTTTGAAGATCACCAACCACTGCAGGTATCCGACACTTCCAAGTGTGCCAAAAATCTACTCCTTCCAC